TACGCCGATGTTTACCGTTGTATATCACGGTGAAGCGTCGTGATCAGTGTCACATAAATAAAATCGCATCCATCAACACTGTAGGACTCCTTTTTATCGCCAACCTCCTTTACTGCGCCGTTAAATCTAACCGACAAATGAAAAAGACGATGCATAAAAAAAAAGCTCCTTTACAGGCCTTTTTCACAAAAAACGACTTTATAGGCCTTTTTCGAAAGGAACGCATTTCTAGCCACATAAATCATCTCACACAAACACGCTTACAGTGAAACAAGCGTTCCCACAGAATATTCTACTAAAGCCGTTTCAATACACCAAGAGGCAGCTGTAGTTACATGCATCAAAAACGCCTTTAAACACCTTTACAGGTGTTTGAAGGCTTTTTTCAGAAAAAACTCTGATTTCTCCGTTGAAACCGTGTAAAACAGCTCGGTTAGCTATAAAAGGGCCTTTAAATGCCTTTTTCTATAAGAAATCATGTCATTGAGAAAGTTGAAAAGAGCTCTGATTTCTCTGGTGAAATCATATGAAACAACGTGGTTACCTATAAAAAGGCTTAAAAATGCCTTTTTCTATAAAATTCCATACATTTGGATGCTGATATCACGTTATTTACAACGTTAAAAAGAAAGGTCTTGAAAGGCATTTTTTCCAAAAAAGACATTATTATGGTATTTATAGCACCAGGTGAAAAAATTTTCACCTGTCTAGGTGTGGGGTCACACGTGTAAGTGTTTCTATACCGGGATAATAACGTATTGTCAGTCATGGATGCGTATATAATACCTGCAGCAGTCGATGGGTGTCGAATGGTTTTTAGAATATGCACAAGGCTACCTACTCGAATCTGGGTTGGAATTGAAATAAACTGAACCATGTAGTGACAGCCATATATATATATCGGGTGAGGTCCGTCCGATTATGAATAGTCTGTCGGCTGTGTTTGACGTGTCACTTAATTGCAGTTCAAGAAATTTTAAGCATACAAAACGTGTTTCATTTAAGAATTATCACTTATTCTATTCCATGAGGAATATGTTACTAAGCGTTCACAATTCCTCTACCTTTAAATGACCTATGCTACAAAAACCAATAACTCTTCAAAGCTTATCATAGCAAGGTACTGATGACTCTTGAAGCGCTACAGTTGGAGGTATGCATAAATTTTCAAGGTCTATCCTAGGGGAGTATTCACAACTCTTCAAGGTCTTTCCTAGGGCGGTACTCATTGTACTTCAATAATCCTTTGAGGACTTTCCTGGGGAGAGGGGGGGGGGGGGGAGGTACTCATTACGCTTCAAGCCATGTGCTTGTAGGATACCCGTAACTCTTCAAGGGCCATCTCAGGTGATGATATCTATAACTCTTTAAGTGCTATGCTAGGGAGGAAATGCCTAACTTTTCTCAGTCTATCCTAGGAGGGTACCCGTAACTCTTCAATGGCTATCCTAGGAGGTACTCATTACACTTCAAGGTCTCTTCTAGGGGTTACCCAAAACTGTTCAAGAACTGTCTCAGGTAGTATCCGTAAATTTTCAAGGTCTTTCCTATGGTGGTACTCATTTCACTTCAAGGTCTTTCCTAGGGCGGTACTTATTGCACTTCATGGTCTTTTCTAAGGGGTGTCCATAACTCCTGAAGGGCTATCATGGGCCAACCCATAACTTGTCAAAGGCTATCCTAGGGAATATTCACAACCCTTCAAAGGATTTGCTAGGGCAGTATCTACAACCCTTCGAGGGCTATCCTAATGGTACGCATTACACTTCAAGGTCTAACCTAGGGGATATGTATAACTTTGCAAGGGCTATTATATGGGGGTATGTGTAACTTGTCATGGTCCATCCTATGTGGGTATCCGTAACTCTTCAAGAGTTTTTCTAGGGAGGTATCCATAAGATTTCAAGATCTGTTCTGTGGCGGTACCCATAACTCTTCAAGGGCTATTGTAGAGAGGCATCTCAAACTCTTCAAAGGTTATCCAGGAGACACATGGTTGTGTAACTGCTATCATAGTTGCTATCCAATTCTGTTGTTGGTTTTTCTGCGGTAGTATGTATATCTCTTCCTGGCGTCAGTAGTTGTTATCGCTGGGAGTGTTGAAAGCGTTTGTAGGGGTGATCCCATCAACTACTGAAGGACTGTGTTGTAGTGACGTCAATAGCTGCTGAAGGTGTTTATGGCGTTTGTTCAGGTTAGTCACTAATGTGTTTGGCTTGTGGTCGTCTCAGAGTTTCATCAGTTCTTCGATATTCTCGTCAAAGTTTCTCATGCTGTTGAAAGCAGTGTTGCATTAATTCTTTAGTTTCCTTGATGGGCTGTGTCGATTACTCTCAAAAATACGCCTTCTTAGATAATTGTTGTCTGCTGTGGCTTTCCTAGGTATAATGGTGGATACTCTCGTTGACTTTTTGATGATTCTTTCTCCAGTCGACGGCTTGCGATTCCGGTGTGCTTCCTAGGAAATATCTGTGGACGTGAGTGTTTTTCCATTGATGCGTGGATGAGAAGGTGCAGCTTTGAGGAGCTATATAGTATATAAGCGGATTGAAGGTGTTTGTCGTTCAGCAATGGGTGAAAATACGTTTGTGTCTCGTTGCAAGAATGTTGTGGTGGAGACGGATCGCGTTCGAGTTGAGGTGTTTTGTTGATGTTATTAGGTATTTTTCAGGGGATAAGAAGTTTTGCGATTTCATTAATTGAAAGTCGCTGTAATTTTTTTGGAATACCATGGCTGGTGTTTTCGTTGAAATGACTGAATGCTAGTGTATTTATTGGCGGGCATCTTGTCCATAATTTGAATGAAGTATGAAAGAGAGCTTTCAACGTATTTAAGATGGTTGGCTTGTATGGGTTATCAAAAGTTTTTTGTCTTTGCTGATAGGAGTTTCGATTTGCAAGAGAACAGAGTAGTCCCGGTCGCATTTCTGCAGAACTGGAATTGGGATCAACATTTTTATTTTTCGCAGCAGTGGAAACTGGACAGAGAACTTTTCAAGCTGGTCGTGGAGAGCTTTTGTATTAAGAGCTACGCTACAGATATCCATGCTCGTTATTCGTTTGTGAATAAGCATTTGCAAATCAGGCATTTTTATTTGATATTCCGATAAAAATCTTTTACTGATTTCTATTCTAATTTGGAAAACCGTGGTTGTTGGTCGCTTGTATAGATTTTTATATACACGTATTCGTACAATACACATAAAGTTAGTTCATTTAGAATTTAACCATTCCTTTGATTGTAATTTTTTTATTCTTGCTTGCCTACTTGTATTTTAGGACGAGCTCTTAAATTTTATTATGTCATTTCTCTATGTTGCAAAAAGCAATTTTATGACTACTAGGGAGTACGAGCACCAATCTTAAATTTTAGGCTTAATCTTACCAGAAATTGCATGTTTCTAGGGAAAATTTGACATCAGAAGTTAAAACAAAATTTTAACCAGAAGTGGGACAGGGACTAATAATTAAATTTGGAAAATAAGCGGGATCGGCATCGAACAATTACTTTGAAAGGGATCAAAGTTAATCCGGAAACAAAAGAAAGATGTTCCTACAGTTCCCTTTTTGAGTCGCTCGAGTATCTATTGGTTCAGGATCTCGACCATTCATTATACGTACCGCCAAGAATAGCCCTTGAGACTTTTGGGTACCCATAGATTGGAAAGGAAAAGTTATAGGTCTCTTATGAATGGTGGAGACGATCAGTTCTCTAATCTGTGCTGAACTGTATCAACAGCTCAACACAGATTAGAAATACTCTAGGCACATTTCTGCCTAGCTGAACTTTTTGAATACGTCTGATCAGATCATTGTCTTGAATAGTTTAACAGATCGGAACTTTTGCCAAACTGCCCAACTTCTATATGTAACTTCTAGAGCCTTGCTCGAAATGCTAATATCATTATCTGGATAGAAATAGGCATCAACAGGGACGCTATTCCCATTAGCTAGGCTGCTGCAGGAATTTGGTTTAAGTAAACTGTTAAAACCTAAAGAAGTACATGTATTCGAATTGAAAATAATATAATGTTAGGTCTAACACGTTCCATTGACTAGTTTTTTAGTGGTTGGGAAATGGTGTTTTCCTTGACGGGTAATGCCAACGAACACTCAGTAGCATTAGAATTGTTTGATGCTAATGCTCATTCTGATTGAGAGATGCTTAACGTAAACGATCGGTCATAGTGAAGTACGACAGAAAACAGTGAACGTTCATTGAACCGTTTACAGCTGACGTATACGATGACTTACGACTTTGTCCGACAGGCGTTTACAGACGCCGTATTTTTACGAGAGTCGTAAACGATGAGAGTTTACGGTAGTCGTTTACGATGGACGTAATAGACCGTAAAGCATCGTTTACGATCGCTGTACACAGTTACCGTATATGGCTGCCGTTTTCCGCCGTGTTTGGCCACATAGGGCCATTTACGGCGGGGCATCGTTGAGCTGGGATGGCCCAGAAGAAATGGGCTACTTCTTATAAGAAATTATTTTATGTATAATCTTAACAATTTTTCTGTATTGTCAAGGAAAGACTGCGATAAAACTTGCTGCAAAACTATTGAATGCTTCATGTTAAAAAAAATTGAAAATAGAAAGATTTACTACAAAATGTGAAAAAGCAAAGCCGTCAACTTTCTAAGCCACATTGTAGCATGCTTAAGAGAGGGTCCACGACAGCATCGAGAATACAAGGCACTCGATAAAATTTTTTTTTTCGATTTTTTTTGCTCATTCGAA